TCGGTGCACATCCGTATCACACATGGGAGGCTCGAAAAATCAAAGGACCGAATGAGGCCGAATATCAAATTGCACAGCCTGCGAGAGTCCACCTGCTTAACGATCTCCTCGCGGATGAGTTCCCTGATGCCAGGATCTTGAATTTTGCCCATGACTCCAACTGGCTGATTGACGCGCCCGTCAAGACCACCGAGGAGATTGGCAAATGCCTGTTAAAGGAGATCAAGGCCAATCGATCATCCCCCGTAAGGATTACGACGTCCGTGGCCGGACATCGCTGATGCTTATACTAGCATCTCCCTATTATCTTCATCGGACACAGCCTAGGCGGTATCATCGTCAAGCAGGTATAGCGATGTGCCCTAGTAGTCGAACCTCGTGTCGTCTGACCTCTACAAGGCTCTATGTGGGAGCGACTCCCAAGACATCGTTGATACTACTGCGGGTATCATATTTCTCGGAGCACCTCATCAAGGTTCGTCGGTGTCTGTTGCTGGCGCTGTGCTGGCCTCTGTGACCTGTATCCTGGGATCGGACACGACGCTGCTCCTGTCTCTGCAGAATCATAATGCCCAGCTCAGCAACCTTGCGGATGCATTCGGCTCTCGTATAGCCCCGAACGAACGTCGACCACGAAAAGTTCCGATCATATCCTTCTACGAGACGAAGAAGACCTATTTACTGGGGCTATCGCTGGGCGTCGTAAGCATGTGCATTTCTTTCTCGGCAGCCGTCTAACATTCTACAGGTGGTGTCACGAGATTCCGCCACGGTCCACGCCGATTGCGACAAGAGGCACAGCATCGAGACAGATCATTCCGGGCTTAACAAGTGCGGCGGGCCGACCGATACGCTGTTCACGGAGCTGGCAGCGGCGATACAACGCCTGAAGACCCCATCGCTGCTCGACCAAGCCGACACATGGATACGCGACAAGCACTACACGGCGGACAGGCTTAAGATTGAACGACTCTCGGGCGAGTCACTGTCTATGGATCAGTGCTACATCAACCTAGCCATCGTGGGACAATCCGGCCTAAACGCAGGTCACTTAAAGAAGGGGGGCACAGCGCCATCCCCATTTTCCATCCTCGCCCGGCAGAAGGTTGAGGCACCCGACAAGACTATGCAGGTCGATTTGGCAGCAATTTTCAACGAACGCAAGGGAAGCGACGGCCAACCGATGCATCCACGAAGAATCTTGATTAGAGGCCGTGCAGGTGTTGGCAAGACTACCTTGTGCAAAAAGATTGTTCATGAATTTACTAAAGGCACGTGGGCCAAATGGAACGAATTGTTTGACCGTGTGCTTTGGGTGCCTCTGCGAAATCTGAAGCTGCCGGAAAGACGTAAGAAAGCCAAGTACACCTTGGAACATCTTTTTAGCCATGAATTCTTGCTGCCAACGGATGGACCTAACCTCGCTCGTGCGCTGTCCTGTGCATTGGAAACTAAGAGCAGCAAGACTCTATTTCTCCTCGACGGCCTAGACGAAGTATCCCAGGACCTGACAGGCAACGGCAGCATGGCCTGCTTTCTCGCCAAGCTTTTAACCCAGCCCTACGTCGTCATCACGACCCGACCATCGGCCAAGCCTCCGCTAAACCTGGACCTCGAACTGGAAACGATTGGATTCGGCCCCGATCAGGTGAACGAGTATATCGAAAAATCCTTCACTAATCCAAAAACGAGCGTAACTGATCGCACCAAAGTCGACAAAGTCCAGTCGTTCCTTGAAGAGCGTTGGCTCATCCAGGGTCTTGTACGCATTCCAATCCAATTGGACGCCCTTTGTTACACCTGGGATGACCTGAAACCTGACGCTATACTGAACACGATGACTGCCATGTACAAAGAAATCGAGCTGAAACTGTGGAAGAAGGATGTCTTACGATTGAAGAAGAAACACGAAGACAAAGAGTTAACAGAGGAAAATATAGCAACGGCTGGCAGGCGGAAGATCGAAGGATTTGTCAGGGATGAAATGGTGTTCATTGAGAGCCTCGCCTTTACTGGGCTGTACAACGATGTCATCGACTTTACGTCAGAACACCTCGACAGCATATCGGACCGCTTCGCACCAAACCTCTTACCTGACAAGACCTTGCCGTCACTATCTTTCCTGCGAACGTCAGATCTCTCATCAGAATATCGCAACCAAAATTACCACTTTATACACCTGACATTTCAAGAGTACTTTGCGGCACGGTATTTTGTGCGGCAGTGGAAAGATCCGGAGGGACAACTCTGGTCTCTAACACTCAGCAGTATGAATACTAGGACAAAAGCAAGTCCTCCCGCAGAATTTCTTAGGAAACACAAATACACAGCACGCTACGACATCTTCTGGCGCTTTGTTGCCGGCTTGCTTGATGGAAGTGACCAGTCACCAGACTTCATCGCTACAATCGAGGAGGAACCGCTCGACCTCTTAGGTCCTACGCATCAGCGACTGGTCATGCATTGCTTGAGCGAAATATCGAGCGACTTGCCAGCACGGAAGGCCCTAGAGGAACGGCTGGCACAGTGGCTGTTGTTTGAATGCAAATTCAACAAAAGTGCGAGTCTGGCAAGTGAAGTTGAGTTTCCCGAGGTAGCGCTGAAGACTGCCTTACTCGATGAGTCTAGTGATGTTCGGAAAACAATTCTGCAGTCGCTAGCTTCTCGAGCCTCAATTCCGCAAAGTATCGCTAAAGTGGTGGCGGGGCGGCTCGGCGACGAGGCCGAGGACATGCGAAGGGCCGCTGTCGAGGCCCTAGGCGGGCGGGCGGCGCTGCCTGACGAGGTACTCACGGCCGTGGCGGCGCGGCTAGGCGACGAGGCTAAGTTCGTGCGAAGCGCCGCTATTAAGGCCCTAGACAGGCGGGCGGTGCTACCGGACAAGGTGCTCACGGCCGTAGCGGCGCGGCTCGGCGACGAGCACAAGTTCGTACGAAGCGCCACGGTCCAGGCCCTAGGCGGGCGGGCGGCGCTACCCGATAAGGTGCTTACGGCTATAGCGGCGCGGCTAAGCGACGAGGCCGAGGACGTACAAAGCGCCGCCATCCAGGCCCTAGGCGGGCGGGCGGCGCTGCCAGGCGAGGTGCTTACGGCCGTGGCGGCACGGCTCGGTGATAAGCACTGGTTCGTGCGAAGTACCGCCGTCGAGGCCCTAGGCGGGCGGGCGGCACTACCTAGCGAGGTACTCACGGCCGTGGCAGCGCGGCTGGGTGACGAGGCCGAGTTCGTGCGAAGGGCCGCTATTAAGGCCATAGGCGGGCGGGCGGCGCTGCCTAGCGAGGTACTTATGGCCGTGGCGGCGCGGCTGGGTGACGAGCACTGGTTCGTGCGAAGTACCGCCGTCGAGGCCCTAGGCGGGCGCGCGGCGCTACCGGACGAGGTTCTTACGGCCGTGGCGGCGCAGCTCGGCGACGAGGCCGAGTTCGTGCGAAGGGCCGCTATCGAGGCCCTAGTCGGGCACACGGCGCTGCCAGGCGAGGTGCTTACAGCCGTGGCGGCACGGCTCGGTGACGAGCATTGGTTTGTGCGAAGTACCGCCGTGCAGGCCCTAGGCGGGCGGGCGGCGCTGCCAGGCGAGGTGCTCACGGCCGTGGCGGCGCGGCTGGGTGATGAGGACAAGGTCGTACGAAGGACCACCGTTGAGGCCCTAGGCCGGCGGGCGGCGCTACTAGGCGATGTGCTCACGGCCGTGGCGGCGCGGCTGGGTGACGAGGATAAGGTCGTACGAAGGACCACCGTCGAGGCCCTAGGCGGGCACACGGCGCTACCTAATGAAGTGCTTACGGCTATAGCGGCGCGGCTCAGCGACGAGCACGAGGACGTACGAAGGGCCGCCATCCAGGCCCTAGGCGGGCGGGCAGTACTACCTAATAAGGTGCTCACGGCCGTAGTGGCGCGGCTCAGCGACGAGGCCGAGGACGTACGAAGGGCCACCGTCCAGGCCCTAGGCGGGCGCACTGCGCTGCCTAACGAGGTGCTCACGGCCGTGGCGGCGCGGCTCAGCGACGAGGCCGAGTTCGTGCGAAGGGCCGCTATCGAGGCCCTAGGCGGGCGGGCGCCACTGCCCGACAAGGTGCTCACGGCCGTGGCGGCGCGGCTAGGCGATGAGGCTAAGTTCGTACGAAGCGCCGCTATTAAAGCCCTAGGCAGGCGGGCAGTGCTGCCGGACAAGGTGCTCACGGCCGTAGCGGCGCGGCTCAGCGACGAGGCCGAGTTCGTGCGAAGGGACGCTATCGAGGCCCTAGGCGGGCGGGCGGCGCTGCCGGACGAGGCGCTCACGGCCGTGGCGGCGCGGCTCAGCGACGAGGCCGAGTTCGTGCGAAGAGCCGCTGTCGATATTTTAATGCAGAGGCACGGTAAATTCTGTTTCACTCTACTTAAGGGGCCTCTCATCTCGTCTCTCTATAAGGCTTTACTCGAACGGAGTTTTAAGGAACAATTAAGTTGGTATATTGCAAAAGACAACTCCTATATTAACATGCCAGATGGTATTACAGAATTCTCTGTCGATATTCAACAGAACGAATTTTGGGATTGGATAAACGGAGCGCGGCCAGCTGACTGTCCATCAACCAGCGGCGGGGAGAGCTTGTCGCACAACCAGTCCTATCTGGTGGCCGACGGTTTTAACGGCGGGCGGATGGGAAAGGATGGTTTGTAACAATGCAGTGGAATCTATATATACTAGATCACATAGTTCTTAGTTTATTAAGCCGCTTGCCCGCAAGAACTGCATTGAATTCAGAACATGTTTACCGAGATGCTCCTATTTTAAACTAAAATTTTAATATCTTTGCTTAGGAAGGTCGTAGGAGTGCGCGTTCATTATAGATTGGATTCGTGCTCTTTTGTGAATCGGACGCATGTGTTTTGTTCACATGTTTCGCGCCCGTCTGGCCGTGTGGAGCGCGCCGAATGTCCAATGGTTGCAGTCAGGTGTGTGGAAGAGAGTCGCCTGACCTGGAGCACTTGACTTGACTGGGTTTATAGGTGCTGTTGATTAGGTAGACTTAGCAGCCCTGTGGAACTCCAGACAGTAAAGGAGAAAATGCCCTCACCTCACCAACGACAGTGGGCGCGTGGCAACGAACGGCTGGAGCAGACTCCATCAGTAAAAGAATGACGTCGATCTATGACCAGTTGAATTATTCTCGAAGAAACGCAACAGACCTTCTATGTACCTACTGTCGTGGGATAGAAAGAGTTCAGCGGGTGCTATACTACAGATCTGATGGCATCATTTGATATGACAAGATTCATCCCGCACATTACAACTGAAGAATGGTGCGATATCTTTCTATGATGCACTTCTACCACAATAACATACCGCAACAGCATCAGCGTTTTTAGCGTTGTTGAAGCACCAATACACACTGTTTGTCATAGCTTCGGTAGAAGCGGGGTCTTCGCCTTTCTCGGTAATCTGCTAAGACAATGAACCGCCACTATCTCTTTGCGGTATCTTTCCGTGATGTATTGTGTGCTGTTCTTGCCCGCTGGCATTGTCTGCTACCATGTAATATGTATACTGGTTGACTACTTTCATTCAGAGATATATTTACCATAGGCATATGGTCCTACCCTAAGTGGCTCGAGTTCTTCTCTGAATGTGCTACATTATCGTACTGACTTGGTGGTGTATTCTATGAGATTATGGCGCGTCGCTTCAGATTTACTTTTGTCTATAGCGATACTCCCTCAGATTAAATATTCTTTACAACCTTCAGGCCGACAACGCTGGTCGCTGGCAGAACGCAGCTTTGCAACTAGTCGTTGCACAATGCATTTACCGCAGCAAGCCACTGTTGCGATGCTCTCCACTGTTCGGATCCGCTGGCATGCGACATTACCATGCCGCCACTAAACCGGGAGACAGTCTCGACGATTTCCATTACGTTGGAGTACCCAGTAAGCATTTTCAATAACTTTTGTCCCCAGCAGTTCTCAACCAGCCACTTAGCCAGATCATTATCCGTTCCAGCGAACGGAGACCCGTCTAGTGGGCTGGCCACCCAATACCACTTTCACAAGCGATTAGCAGCTATCTTCAGTTGCTCATGTTCGGGCAGCATGGAGTCGGCCGACCACCGGGTGAGGGGTTCCTTGTGGGTTGCGCACCCCATAAAGTTCTGCCAGTCTCAACAACTGGTACTCGTGATGGCTTCACTTTTTGCCAACATTGTAATACAAGTATATGTAGGCACCTTGGTTCCCGAGTTCGGTATCTTCGCAGCCATATTTTATTTTATTTTATTTTATTTCATTTTTATTTTTTGAACGTGCTTCCGCCTTGGAGGTCTGGGACGCCGCTGTCACGTGCATGACCACACGGCGGGCACACCCTTGCACTCCGCGTTACAGTCTGGTAGCAACACGAGGATCGATCAAAAAAAGGGATCGACAACGGGTTTTTGAGCTCAAACTTTTATCAGGCTTCGGCTACCAGCCCGTCGAGCCCAATCGCTCTTCATCTCTATTCAATATGCTACGCCCAAATCTGGAAGTTTACGCAGAGAGCCTCGTGGTATTATGGCATATCGCCCGATCCCACTCGACATCCCGCCCGATAGCCCGCCCGAAAGCTGCAGAGATAGAGCCGCAACTGAAGAAGCCTTTTAAGCGATAGGGTTTCCGACAAGCGGATGGAGGCCGAGGTGCTGACCCCTTACACCACTGCCTTCGTGGTTGCAGCAACTCGGGATATCCCAAAATGTCCAGCACCCCGAGCTCAATCCAGTCGACATCCAATGTGCGGGCAAGTCCAGTCTCATTTCTGGCCTCAACTTGACCTGCCTCGGAGCGAGGGAATTTGCACAAGATGCCCTCAAGGCACTCGGCTCTCCGTAAATACGGGGTGGTTGGTTGCCTGTGGACCGACGACCAAAGCGCAGACAAGTCCCGTCATGTCTGGCCTGGCTCAGAGCGAGGGAACCTACACATGATGCCCTCAACTTATTCGGCTCTTCACAATAGGGAGTGGTGTGTTGCACCTGGACCGGCGTTACAAGGAGTGACGAGGTCGAGGCGCACCATAAACTCGGCGGCAAGGCGCCGCTGCGTTTGTTGTCACGTCGCCCATCTGCCTGCGAATCTCTAGAAACAAAGTGTCACGAGAGCGACCCCAGAAGAAGATCACTCGACAACAATGAAGAACAAGCCGAAGCATAGATGCTTGACCGGAGATACTTTGCGCCGCTCGCCTGCCACAGGTTCGATGCTCCTCCATCATCAAGGAGTACTCATCACTCAATGCCAACGTACCCTAGGCTCTCAAGGAACACGCCACACCCAGAGGACGTTCCTATTTGCCAGAGCTGGACGCGAGGTTGCAGTCTGCTGACAGTACCTGGCCTCGGAAAGCGGCCGCCTTGAGGATATATATGATGCTGTCCCCCTCCTGGAGGGTTGGGCGATTTCTCCCCTTTCCATCTTTACTTCCACAACTTTCTGCTCATTCTTACCCGCCTCGGCCAGGATGAATCAACAGCCAGACCAGCCCCCAACCCGCTCGCTTCCGCCCGAGATATGGCTGGAGGTCTGTGACCACCTCTCGGAGCGCCAAGTGAGTCACCTCAGCCGAACGAATCGCGGGTTATCACAGCTACTTCAGCCTTATCTCCTACATCGGAATGTGCAGCGATCTGGAACTTCTTGTCTACCTTGCCTTGCTAAACGAGGGGACATTGAACGGATCCAACTCTTGCAAGGCATTGAGGGTTTTAGGACGGATGCCCGAGACTGCGATGGTGATACGGCACTTGTCCGTGCGATTTGGGGAGGCTATGAGGACATTTCCCTTACACTGATTGAGCATGGCGGTCCTCAGATCACTATGCGAAACGGGCGCCACACGTGGAGGCCTCTCCCTCTGGCAGTCTTCCTCGGCCAGACAGATGTGGTGCGCAAGCTGCTCGAATGCGACGAAATTGAACCCAACGGCATTCAACGTGCAGACTACGGTCGGCCCCTTCTTCTAGCCTGCAAATTTGGAAACGACGAAATCCTTCGGCTACTACTCACTGTTGGAGCTATTGACCTGACCGTCAGAGATGACCTCGACCAAACAGCATTGCACGTCGCTGCTCGACACGGATCGGCGTCGGCAGTGGACCTGCTTCTTGATGATGGGCGAATTTCTCCCGATGTACTGGATGCCAGTGGCGAAACGGCACTCCAGGTTGCTTTTACGAATGGCAAATTTGACGTCATTGAAGTTATGTACGCCCACGGAATACGCGCCCCACGCCCCTATCTTGAACAGGCAAGCAACCAACTTGAAGCGAGATTCACCTCGAAGTTTCTTAGTCACGACACTAAGTCAAATTTGCTCCTTCCTATCTGCTGTTGCGCTGCGGCACGTGGGCATGTAGGACTCGTTAGTGAGCTCCTTCCTCTTGCAAATCGTCAGCATCGACAATCATCTTTAGTTCTCGCAGCATACTATGGACATGTTGAGACTGTCGAGCTGCTACTTAAGCACCAAAACCCGAATTTCACGGACAAGAGGAAGCGTACACCTGAATGGTATGCTCGCAACAGGGGTCATTCTACTATTGTGCAACTTTTTAAGACTTGGAATGTAGCTCATGGTATCAAACGGAAGCGAGACGATAAGGATCCTGGAGAGAGTAAGAGAAACCCTATTATTATTGACTAGGCTAGAATGGATACGCGCCGTCAGGTGGATATACTTCTAGATTCTGAACTACTTGGAAAACGTCTGGGTCATCTGCTGTGAGGGCCCGGTCTGCCCCATAGTTGAGAAGTAGACAGGAAACAGCGATATTCATTGCTCGGGTCGAGTAATGTAAGGCTGTCTTCCCCTCTGCGTTGACTATGTTGACATTGGCTCCGTTCACTAGGAGTGTTCGGACAAACTTCATGTGCCCCCTCATGGCAGCTCTGTGTATTGGCGCGTCGCCGAAGCCACTGATGGGATCCATAGAAGCCCCTGACGCCCACAGAATGGGAATCATAGAGGCATGCGCTTCTTCGGCCGCTAAATGGAGAGGAGTATCCCCGGAATTACAAAGGGCATCATTGTGAGCACCTGCGGCAAGCAGTCGCGTCGCTATGACCGGTTGCCCGTGATAGGCGGCAACATGCAGAGCCGTCCAGCCTTTCTGGCACTGCGTGCCGATGGATACACCATGGGCAAGAAGTGTGTCTACCGCGAAAAGTCTGCCGGACTTCACAGCAAACATAAGGACGCTTTCGCCAGCATCTGTTTCGCTATCGAGTGGCGAACCATACGCATAAAGAGACTGGATCATCTCATTATGACCTTGTAATGCC